ATATATTGTAGACAAATTCATGAATAAAAACATTAATTATTTAAATAATATTTAAAATTATAAAAAAAATTATTCCTAAATAATTTTTTTTATTCAAGTGGGCAAACCGAATGTCAAATCCCTTGCCATATTGATATGAGATGGCTATATTTCGTCACACGAGGCAGTCCCCAAATGGCAAATAACGGTAGTTAACAGCAGTTAAATTGGTGTGATAGTAAGGGCTTAATTGCTTCTATTGTAGAGTTCAGGGGCTTATATGCATCAATTAAAGTCTGAGGGCTTAATAGCGATTCTGGGCTTAGTTCAGGGGCTTAACTTATGGTTTTGCCTAAAAATATCATCCTCTAAAAAAAATGAGGTAAATGGAAAACAGCACTCTTCCTAAACCGCACCGAAAACCGCTCCGTCTTCTTTCGGCGGCGCCGGCACATATCGCCGCTTTAACTCAGAACGAAAACCGAATAAGCGACTGCATAAGGCGGAGAAGTAAACACAAACAGTAATCATAATTCAGAGCAGAGCGCGCCATGGAAGAGAAGCTCTCATCCGTGGCGAAGAACTTTACCCCTTCTCCCATACTAGAACTCTCTCATCTCGCTCAGAGATGTAACGCCATCAACCTCGCCGAGGGCTTCCCGGACTTCCCCGCTCCTCTCCGAATCAAAAACGCTGCTGTATCCGCCATTAATTCCGACTTCAACCAGTATAGGTTTGCCTCACATCATTTATCTGGTGTTTATGCAAATTTTTTAGAAGTTGCATTAATTGCTGGACATGCATGTTCATGATGATGATTGTTAATTTACACAAATGTAGAAAAAAATCTACTTATTATTCTATATATATCTTTTGGGAGACATTAATTGCCCTGAATTCCTAATTGCTGTAATGAAAGGCATGTGCAAGGAATTTGTGACCACCTGGCCGCAACAATGAAGAAAATGCATGATTTGGATGTTAATCCTCTAACGGATATAGCCATTTGCCGTGGACAAACTGAGGCATTTGCAGCAGCGATTTTTGCTGGTGTGTTTTCTTCCTAATATGCAATTTGTTGTTTCAATTTGCGTATTCTTATGTATAAATGGTAATTCGTTGGATAGTAATTGACCCAGGAGATGAAGTTGTGCTATTTGATCCTTCATATGAAACTTATGAAGGGTGTATTACCATGGCGGGAGGAGTCCCTGTAAGTTCTTGTCTTGCCCTTAAAGCCTAGAGATTTAGTACTTTTGATTGTAAAAACTAAGGATTGCTTATTGCAAGTATATGTTGCCCTTGATCCACCTCAGTGGACCTTGTGCCCTGGCAAGGTATTGAAGTCTTTTACTGGCAGAATAAAAGCTATTGTTCTGAACAGGTTAGGAAGATTGAGTTAGAAAACAAAAAGATGTACTTTGGTTTCAAAATCCAAAAATACAATTATCTGTATGGCATTAGCTGTGTGTGTGTGAAACTGTTTAATAAGACTAAGATAAGGTGCTTCTTATACTGTTATTTAACATACTGATACTGGATTTGCACAGCCCTCACAACCCAACTGGCAAAGTTTTCTCCAAGGAAGAGCTTGAAGTTATTGCTGAAGCCTGCTGCAGATGGGATTGCCTTGCTATAACAGATGAAGTATGAGAATATTTTTGTTAATATTTGCGAAAAGTGAAACATGTATATGGTTGAATATGTCACTGGTTTAGAACATGCATGACACATGCTTCTGTAATGTCTCACTGAACAATTCTAATGTGTGGAGACCTTTGTCCCAATGTAGACTATATAAGCTGGGTAAAACTATAAGTTTTTTTAAGTTGTTTATTTTTTTTCTCTGAAGGTAGTATTTGAATTTAAAACATGAGGTTATGCATAGGTGTCATTCTGTTTTTGTTTTGTTTTTCTTTTTCTTTGGCCAAGTAGGTCGCATTCTTGTTGATTACTGGATATTAGGCAACACTTCATATTGTCATTTTTTACAAGGCTTGAACCGAGCAGAGTGCTGATGAAGTACCTAGAAGGACAGTACGCATAAAGAGAAATTAAAACCATTGCTTATAGATATATATGGATAGAATTGTAAATATCAGAAGTTCATCTTATAATACACTTGACATCATGCAGCTATTTGTCAAATTCCCTAACTGAAATAAACATTCTAAGTGGTTAATTGTCATGTAATTTTTATTTGTTTTTCCTTAAGCAAAGTGCAATTATCATCTGTAATCTGTCATGGTAGTTCTGTCTAAAAGAAAGAAAATGCTGAACTATTTCATTGATGTCTGAGGATTGCTTTGTCTTCATACTTGTTTCTCCAGGTATATGAGCACATAACATTTGACGACAAGAAACATATATCTCTTGCCTCACTCCCAGGAATGCAAAAGAGAACTATCATCACATCCTCCTTGTCTAAAACTTTTAGTGTTACAGGTCAAATAA